AGACAGCTGTTGCTGCAGGCTGGAAGAGATGAGATGCAGATAGGAGCTAAATGAGCAATTCTACAAAGATACAATGAATATGGCAGAAAGATTGCTTTGGGAAATCTTTCCTATTGTTTACAACACTTCCACATAAGCCTTTCATAAACTTACCATTAGGTACCGGTTTTCATTGTGGTCAGTTTACTTTATCAACAACCTATAGGCAGCTTCCATGTCCTCTCACACAGGCATGTTTCACATGGAGTGGATGAAATGGTGGCTTTCAATGTGAAGTCTCCATGTCCAAATTCTGAAACAGATTACATTGTTAAGGAAAATATTATCTTTGCATTTTTAACAAAGTAAAGGGTCTTGAGATAAAGAGATGACCCAGAATTATCTGAGTGCCATAGCAAATGACTTCTTTCTTTAAGAGATAGGAAGAGGAAAATTTGGGACAGACAGAAGAACCAATGTCACCCAATGTTATCAGCCATAAAACAAATACACGGATACTGAAGGGCCAGAAATTATTAATGAGACTTTAGAATTGGATAAAAGTTGAAGACTGGAATAATTTGGAAAATCATGACTAAAAAAACATCTAAAGGGACTGTTGGTAGACAGGAATTCCAAAACTGGTCTGGTGAGAACTTAGAAATCTCTAGTGTCTTAGTTGATAAATATATTCCATAAACGAATATTGGCATAAATGTGAGTGTTGGATCCCCTCCTACTGTGTGTTAAGGGAGAAGTGAAGCATATATAATTGGGAATGTGAGAAAAGGTAATTCTGAAATATAGTGATCAAAACTTGTCTTGAGTTTTGTTCTTTTTTATGCAAAGCAGAATTTGTGATGAACTTTAGCTTAAGGAATTCCCAAGGAAAGTGTTAAGGGGATAGTCTATTTTTTTATTTTTTGGAGCAGGAGGGCAGGGAGGCAGAGAGGGCTGCCAGGAGCACGGGGGTGTGGGGAGAGTCCTAAGCTGCCATTGCTGGGCCACAGTGTGCCCCAGGCAGCTATGCCCCTGCAGGCGCAGGTGCTCTTGCAGGCCTGGGTGCTCCACCGGGTTAACAAGATGTGGGAGACCCAGGGCCCCTTTGTCGGGGAGCCACCAGCCAAGGACACCCAGGAGCTGCTGGGCCGGGGCCCTGAGGAGAGACTGCCACTGCCCAAGGAGAACCCCTGGACCTAAAAGCCACCTGAGCGCTTATCCCTCCCATTACTGGGCGCTGCAGCCCAGGATGGAGACCTTGCAGGCAGAGCTCAGTATAAACACAGGAAAACTCTAGACAAGGAAATCCAATAAGGCCAGTGATTTCCACGATATGGCAAACTGGCCAAAACCCAGAGAGTTAGTGAGCACTGGAAAAATCGTTTTGCAGTCTCAGAGTGTGTCGTCATCCGAAGAAATAAGAAGGAACAAATTAGAAAAGGAAAAAAGGAGAGAAGGTTGAAATGAGGAGTAACAGACCAGAGAGTCAGGAGAGACCTGGATCCTGCAACAGCTTTCCGTGTCAACCTGAAGCAAATAAGTCCTCCTATAATAACAGGAGACATAACACATGAAGTTGGGGGCGAGACAGAGAAAAAAGAGATGATCAAGATGAACTGTCCAATGTGCAGAGTGAGGGGGTCATATCTGACTTTCCTTCAGGGGTCAAGGAAGAGGACCAGGATGGGGAACAGGATGAGGCAGAGGAAACCCCCGGGTGCACTTTGATTATTCATATGGTTACCGAGAACATGGTGAAAGCATGGTGAAAGAACAGATCAGCCATTTCAAACAGAAATTAATGCCAGTATGATGTATTACTATGAGGACAGTACAGGTGTATCATGTAGAAGAAGCATTGCTTAAAAAATATTTAAGCATTGAATTTAATATTACTTTAGTATAGAAAACTTGGAAAATGACTTCTTTCTTCAAAGAAAGATGGATGAACAAGGTTTCTTGCCTTTTTCACTGATTGCTGGATTTCACTGTGTTCAGGCTCTCACCCAAACCTTAATCTCATTTTAGAGGCCCTAAAGGATAGCACAGAAGTAGAAGTTGTGGATGAGAAAATGAGGAGAAGATAGAACCAGAAAAGTGGACAATCCAAGGCCCTTCTCCCAGAAGTATTCCACAGACAGACTTCTCTCAGCTGATGGATTGTCCAGAGTTTGTGCAAGATCAAGCCTTTTGCTCACATGCAGTCAGCGTGATGATCTACTGATGCCCTGGATGTCATCTGATGGGGATGTTCAGTATAGCAGGTGGCCCACTGAAATGCATTGTAAATACTGGAACAAACCGTGCTGTAGAGATGGAAGCCACCAGACTGTCTTCTGTGTGAGAATATCCACTTCTTACCCCTGAGCTGCATGACAGTGGAGATGACCACCTGTGTCACTACCTGAGACACAGCTGAGGACCCCTGCTGACATTCCAGGAGCTGCCTGTTCTTTTCTGTGTGGCTGGACTTAGACAGCGTGGCTACTTTTATTTGAGGGGGAAGCTAATTGTTATCACTGTAGAAATACTTAAAGGTTCTGTCTTTTGTTTCCAGGCATATGTATTATTATCCAAGTCAATAAAGCAGAGACAGAAAGGAATGTGTAGTATTTCTCAGCTTTCCAGGCCTTTGGCTCTTGATCTGCCCTTTGCCATGGTGAACATTGCATAACTCACATGTTAAGATGTTTCAATGGACTGTAAGATTTATTAATGTGGTCATTTAAGGGGTAAGAAATTAAATAAATAAACAAGGGTATTTTTCCAAAATTTTTTAAAATGTACTTTTGATACATCAGTATAACTCCTGCCCATCAGAAAAGCATTAATGATGGATAGTTTCACAGAATTTTTTTATCTCATATTTCTTTGTCAGCCATGTACTTCTAATTGCAGCAAGCAACGTGGGCAAGTGTTTTAAATAGTTGAAGTAATGTGTCATTGCTTGGCTGCTTGTTTTTTATAGATATAGTGGCTGATTGTAAAAGTTAAACTTATTTATTATGTAAACTTGGGTTCAACATGACATTTTTAACCAGCTTATGAAGAATCATTGGTAAGATGGATAATGTAGAAACACTTTTTCCACAGGATAGTTAATTTAGGTCAGTCAAGTTGGTGGTGCCTGTCCATTAATATTTATGTATTGTTAATAAAATTACAAGAACAAAATCATAAAAAAGAGTCAATCTGGTCAACTTTGTGCTGAAAAATTTTGAATCATGTATCTATTTAAAGATTTCATCAGAAGCCAAAACTACAAATGGTGCATGAAAGCTATGTAGAGGACTGTTCTTTCTAATAATGTGTATCTTTGTGATGCATACAGATAGACAAGCAGATTTTTGAGAATGGTTTAGTTCAGAAATAGCACTGATAAAACCAGATTCTTTTGTATGTGGGCTAACAAAAACAAAATTCAGGCATATGTTAGAAACCCTTAGACTTCCAAAATTCTGAAGGCAAGAATTAAGGATGTTGAGCCATTAAGCTGCAAATATGTATGACCCTTTAAGGAAAAGGCAGAATGGACTTTAAGGCAGATGCTTGTGGAGCAAGGGCAAGAGTGAATAAACTAAATGGAATCTGAGGCCTGGGTCCATCTTTGAGTCTAGTGAGGGGAGCTGCAAGTCAAAGATTACCGTCCAGGCCTTAAAACCTAACAAAATTTTTCTTGCTAGATTTGAACTTGATTAGGACTGGTGAACCTCCTTTACATATAATTTCTTTCTTCTGAAATGGAATATATATGTTATATCAGTCCTACCATCAATTTTGAAGGCAAATAATTTGCTTTCTACATTCATAGTTCCACAAATGGAGAGTAATTTTATTTGATTTTGGATTATATCCAGAGTCTAACCTATTTAAATGAGTTAAATGATGAGTTGTAATTTTGAGCTACAGAGATGATGATATAGAGATGATGATACAGAGATGAGATTCTAGTTGAGATTTCTGGGGATGGTAGGATTGATTAAATATATTTTGCACATAAGATGCACATGAATTCTGACAGGCCAGAGGATGACTACAGTAGGTTAAATTGTCACTTCCATAAAGATACTTTTTCATCTGAAACCTTGATATTGGTAAATGTTAACTTCTTTGAGAAAAGAATTTTTGCATATGTAATGAAATTGAGGTTTTTCAATTAAGAAACCATTCTGGATTATCTTTGTCTGACCCAAATCCAATGAAAAGTGATATTATATGGGTATTCCAGAAGAATCTTTGATATAACAGAAAATGAGATCATATAAAGAAGGGAAGGATGTGATGTGAACACAGAGGGAGACATAGGTGTAGTGTGACTACAATCCAAGAAAGATGAGGAATTTCAATTAGCAAAGAAACTGGAATATTCAAGGGAGGAAATTTCCTCTACAGAATGTGGAGGCAGTGTGGCCTTTCCAACATACTGATGCTCACTTCTTTCTTCCATGGTTGTTAAGAAGTAAATTGGAATTTTATTACAGCAAACACAGGAAACTAATATGCCCTAATAATTTTCTTTCATATTTAATTGCATATCAGGACTATTTCTCTGAGGTCCTGGACTAAAACAACTGAGAAAGATTTTATCAGCTGGATCTGAGAATCATAGATATTTCTTTCAGATATGTTAAATATAAGATGTCTCTAACATATTTAAATGGGAATATTATGTAAGCACTTCAGTGTATAATTCCAACGACCAGTAGAAATGCCAATGTTGATGATGTGAATGTGGTAACATTGACACTAAGAGGTATGAGACCAAATGTATCCTGTTTTACAGGTTATGACTTAAAAAAAGGAGATGGGTATGCCATTCCCTGGAGGATTTCAGCATTTCAAGTGCCATAAGAGAACAAGAGGAGTAGAAGAAATAGTAAGTGAGAATGTGTGGCTTGTCTTTCCAAGAGTCCCAGCTGTATCCCATCTTTGACCTCATTCTTGACTTTTTGTCTTAGCTTTTCTCATCTCTGTCCTACACTATTTCTAGATTGAACACCATAGAATTTAAATTAGTGATAACAGACCCTCACTTTGTGTTGATGATTGTTTCATAGATTTGGTATGAATTCTTTCATCTAATTGTTAAAAATTTTTAAAAGTATTTTAAAACTTTTCTTAATTAAAGGCCTGTGTCATATAAAATTGAAACCAAAAGAACTAAATTAATAGTGTCACAATAAATTATTTTTCTGTTCAGTTTTTAACTGCCAAAAGGGAGAAAAAAGCATAAAAAATGTACTGGAGAGGTAATAAGTAGAGGACAATCATAGTTGGAGAATAATAATAGGACAATAATAATTGATTATTTAAAGAGACAGAGGATGATAATGTTTGATAAATTTTCTTCAGTTACTTTTCCTTTCTCTCCTACATTTGAAGCTATTTTCTTCACTTCTGTCTTTTTGAATGCTTTAAAAGCCTTTCTCTTTCTTTAATGCCTTAAATTTACTCTGGGTCATCCTAATATTAGGATATTCATTGTTTTTCTCTCTTATCCTTATGTTTATAACTTTGGTGTATCTAAGACCTTCCAATAGTCAATATTCACCTCCTCTTCTTCATTGGGAATTTGGAAACCTAGAAGTAAGGGAATCAATGTCTGCTTCCCTTATTGCTATTTGTGGCTCTATTACTAAAATAAGGCAGGTGATAAAAAGAAGAAGTGTATGATGATTCCAAAGTTATCTCTGAAAGAAGATGGCTGAAGTGCAGACATAACTTCAACCTTAGAAATGGGACCTCTGGTTGATAATCAACAATATGAAAAGAACCTGTAGTACTTGGGTCATGTGGAGCCAACCTAGTTTATAAGCCCAGTAACCTCCCTATTTAACAAATTTTAAATGAAAAAAATGTGTATTTCACATCAAACATTTTTCACTGGACATCACTGCCATTTACATTTACAATTAATATCAATTGATACAGACTTTACTTTAAAAAATCAAATGTGTTGCTACAAGTAACAGAATATGTGTTACCAGCTTAATGGAAATTGTCCACCAGCACATGACAAGGACTCACAAACTAGAAGATGGTGACCTTAAATACAATCACAAAATATAGCAAAACTTTCTTCTGTTTTCTCTCATAAGGCCGATCAGATATCATTGAAGCTGTAAACTAAAATGTTATAATAAATAGCCTGGAGTTGAAGTGTTTCTCATTAATCATAAGTGAAATCTTAAACCTCAGTTCTTCAGAGTATGTATGCTTTTAGAGAAAATGTGCTTAAAGATGTAATTAAGGGCTTAGGCTGTAGCTTAGTGGCAGAGCACTTGTCTAGCACTTGTCTAGCACATGTGAGGCACTGGGTTCAATCCTTAGCACCACATTAAAAAAAATAAAAGTTCTAAAACATTAAAAAAACAGATAACCAAGTTAAAATGTGATCATTATGATGAGCCCTAATGCAATATGGCCAGTGTCTTTATAAGAAGAGCAAGTTAGGATATTGACATGCACAGAGGAAAGACCATGGGAAGACAGTGGAGATGGCCATCTACAAGCCCAGAAGAAAGACCACAGATAAAATCAAACCCGCTGATGCCATATTTTAAAAAATGAAATTATTTGTACATTAATTACTCTTGCCTCTATTAGTAAAATTTTATAAAGAAAGATAATATCTTATCATAACCATGTGCTGAGAGAGAAGGGATAGATACTGTATGTTGGGAAGCCCTTCTGCAAGGGTAGCATAGGGTAGTTACTCACTAACTGCATTCTAGTTAATTCGTTGAAAAATTCAATTGCTGCTATACCTAACAGAGAAGCAGTTCCAAGCACTGGACCTCTAGTAGAGGAGATAAGTTGTACTTCAGGTCTTTCTCCAGAATCTGCAATTAAGAGTTCTAAGCCAAGCAATGAAAATCACTCTAGGTAAAATATACAATTCGAATTACTGCTTCACACCAACCTCTCCTTTTAGCAGTATTTCTAATGAGATTAGATGAGATGGGGTGGAGGTGGTGTATGGCAATCTGAAAGGAAAGTGACAACGACACTCACAGTGGCCAAGAGGTCTTCATTGTGGCAGTGTCTGACTGACAGAAAAGGGAGAGAGAGAGAGAGAGAGAGAGAGAGAAGAAGAAGAAGAAGAAGAAGAAGAAGAAGAAGAAGAAGAAGAAGAAGAAGAAGCAAGAGGGAGAGAGGAAAGCAAAGTGAGAGAGAGAGAGAGAGTGAGAGAGGAAAGAGGGAAGAAAGAGAAAGAGAATTAAAGGGAGAGTGAGAGAGCAAAAGTAAGAGAAGAAAGAGAGAGCAAGAGAGGAGCCCAGCAGAAGAGAGTTTTTATAGCCAAAATCTAATGGGGTCTTTGAGCCTGCAAGCTGCCTTGTTGGCATACAGTGATTGAATCATACAGCAGTTGCTAAGGGTGTTTTCTTCTGCTTGTAGGAAGACTGGGCAGGGGATAGATGTAGGTTTCCATTGCACCAGACAGGTGAGGGTTCAGTGTTCAGCCTCAAGTGAGGTTGAGTGTTCAGACTTGAGGCAAACAAGGGATAAGAAACCAGATGAATGAGGGTCGGGTTTTCAGCCCACCCTGCAGCTAACGTTTGTTCAGCCTGCTCTGCAACTAACACAATCCTCCATGGACCTCTTACAGTTTTCCCCACCCCTTTCTTTTTTTAATTTTGACCTCATAAGCAATAGAAATTCAAATTCTATAATGAGACAGACTGTTTTACCTACTTTGCTCCCTGTTCTTTGGACTCTAAGTTGGCATAGAGTCATTTGTCTACTTTCACCAAAAATGTCAGTTCCTGCTTAAAAAAAAATAATTAATTTATTTTTAATTTTTTCTTCACAATCTTGGTTATAAAAATTTTCTTATGCAAGGTAGTATCCCAGAATAAAATGTAAGTACTTTTTCTTAACTTCAGAGAGGTAGAGGTTCAGCTGGCCATTCAAGCAGGCAGCAGCAGCCAGTCACCTACAGCCCCTGTCATTTCCTGTTCCAGTTTATTAAACCTTAGGCTTTTCCACAAGCACGTGACTCACATGGAGATTCTTCTGCCAATCAAGAAAGACCAATTTAAAGGAGCTAGACATTGATATGCAACTTGGCTTGCATGAAGGCCATGATAAATTGCTAACTACACATCATTCATTTTGTTCTAATTCTTGTTCTCAGCAGCTTGAATCATTTTTTTCCTTTACTTCAGGAACAAGATAAAATCAAGTGTCAAGAAGCGCAGTCTTTCTTTCACTGTCCCAGAATGTCACTGCAGAAGCCCAAGGGAGTTTAGGGAAGGAAATGCTACAGGGTACAAAATATTTACTTGGACACACAAGAAGTGCTGTGAGGAGACCCTGGAACTGCTGCTCTAGCCTGTCCTGAACCCTGCTTCTCTGTGCTGGCCTGGGCTCTCTCTGGGACCCCAACACACAGCCCATGCCCAGCCTAGTGCCTCACCATGGCAGGCAGGCACTACCTCAAAAAGCTCTAGGAGGCTATCCTTTCCTACAGGTTGCCCAGGAGGGACACACCTGGGGTGCAAGCTTCTACAGGCACCCTAAACCTGGTGCAGGTCCTTGGTGGCTCATGGCTCCTGAGGCATCGGGAGCTCCTGTGCATGTCCCTCAAGCCCTGAAGTGCAGTAGGAGTTGGAGGGTCCCAGAGCCTGTGCTAGAGCCAAGCTGTGAGGTGGTGCTTTATCTGCCACTTTCCCCTGCTTTGCACATTCACAAGGCTGAGTTCCATCTACACTCCATAAACCAGTGGAAAGAAACTACAGTATTCACAAGGAAGCCTCTCAGGCCCAGGAAGGCCTAGATGATTATTCATGAGCCTGAGGCAGTTTGGGCTGGAAAAGGCCTCAGGAGCCCAGGTGAGAGGGAGGCATTTCCAGCTTAGATGAGCACTATCCAGAGCCCAGGTCTGTGGAGAAAGATCACTTGGGCATTGTTAGTCCAAAGCTCATTATTTTAACAGTTTTTCCACACTTACTTGAGACTTTAAGTTTAATTTTAAAGTTTTTTTCTGGGGTCCAAACTTTTCTGAGGACAAGAGGAAATTCTAGGCAGAGAAAGTAAGAAAGGGGAGGCTATAGGTGACACCCCGACTTTCCACAAGGAAAAATTCCACACAATACAAGGATATGGAGAAGGAAACAGAAATGCAGTGCAACATCCACATCCAACTGTGTAGCAACTTTAAGATTCATTTTTGAGATGCTGCAGGAATGGGCCTGGGTGAGAACACAACAGCATAATTAGTCCTGAGTCAGGTAACCAGGAGCTGTGCACTAGGAGGAAGCACCTGTGGAGCTTGGGGCATTTTCTTGACCTGTCCAGGTTCTCTCCAGCCATTGGCATGATGCAGCTTGGGAGGCTGAGATAACCATTGCCTGTGCAGTCCAAGAAATGAGCCACCAGCCCCCCCTGGAATGGCCTGTGTTCCTCTTTCACCTTATGGAGAATTTGCCTTCTGTAGCCTTCAGTCTTCAAACAGGCCAGATTAGCCAGTGTAGCAGAACTCAAGATTGGCCAATCACCAAAATGTGTCAGGTATGCAGAGCACTCATTGGCTGTGCTCACCTGGTGAAAACTTAGGAAAAACTTTGTTGTTGTTCCTAAAGGGATTTTAAATCTCACTAGAATAAGAACCCACTCTTTCACCTTTTGAATCTGAGTCCCTCAGCTTCTAATTCTTCAGGAAGCCTAGCACATGGCAGTGGTCTAGTGAATGCTGAATGAGTAATTGAAGTAGCATGGAAAAGATCTTTCAAGACCAAAAGAAAAGGAACAAATATCCAGCTACTATAGTGGAAACCATTTTCTCTGAATTAGCATGGAGTACCAGAATTATTAGAGCCAAATGGAATTTGTTAAATTAGTGAATAATAATTTATTAAAACAAGCTCTGTGACAAGTCTAAGTCACAGGGTGAACTTTGACAAAGAAAATTCCCCTCACTTTCTTTTTCCTTATGGCTTTATGTTTTACTTTTAAATTCATGATTTTCTTTCTTTGTTTCTTTGTTTCTTTCGTTTTTTGGTACTGGAGATTGAACTCAGGGGCACTCAACCACTGAGCTACATCCCCAGCCCTATTTTTGTATTTTTTATTTAGAGACAGGGTCTCACTCACTTGATTAGCATATCTCTTTTATTGCGTCTGGCTTTGAACTCATGATCCTCCTAACTCAGCCTCCCAAGCTGCAGGGATTACAAGTGTGTGCCACCATGCCAGAACCAAGATCCATTTTGAATTAATATTTGTACATGCTGGAGTTTAAGGGGGAGGTTTGTTTCTTCCCCTCCCCTTTATTTCTTCACCCACACCCTTTCTGCCTGGGATGTCCTCTAGTCTAACACTATTTTATGAAAAGACTTTCCTTTATTCACTAAGTTCACTTTTCCATTTAAAATAAAGTGGTCAAATTAATTATTAGAGGAAATCTCTGTTCCTTTGAGCTTTATTAATCTTTTCATTTCCCCTGACATACACTCCCTTAGAGCAAAGTTACCTTTCATATAATATATATGTAAAGAAGGTCATCTAGTTGAAATTCAGAATTCTTGTGTTGGATATAGTTCAGTTCATGGGATTTTCCCATGAAAACTATAGGGAAATGTGTAGAAATTCTTAGTATAAAAAATAAATCCTTAGTGTATCAAGCATGACTTTTTTGGACAAATGTAAAAAACTGAGGTTTGCTTCACTTGGAATGGGGGTAAAAGAGTAGTTTAGGTCTCAATAAACAAAACAACTGGTTAATCTTTGTTTTGAATTAACACACAGAGGGGTAAAATAGTAATTGTGCCACCATTTAAAATAGAGTATTTGAGATGTAGGTCAAGAGGTAAGCCTGGAGTGAATGTTTTTCCCCACACAGAAATCTTGACTCTCAATAAGATCATTAACGTTTGTCAGAGAGACAATATATCAAACAAGAGTAAATGATATGGATGTCCTGTGAAGTTTCAGATGTTTGTGGATCCAGTATGCAAATAAATACATAAGCAAAATACATTTGAAAGAGTTGTATTCTTCAAGTCCAGAGTTTGAAAATCTTTTCAGTTTTAAGATAATGAATCAGAAAAAAAAATGATATAGTATACTTAAGAACTATTCTCTGAGAATGTGTGAACTCACTTCATTGGGCTATAAGCTTGTGAGATTTGAAAATTAAGCAGGGCTTGTTCTTTAGTAAGAGACCTCCACAAATCACTTGCTCAAAGGGAGGAGAAGCAACAGTAGCAACAGAATATAAGAGATAAAAATTGGCCTGGTTATTTTGAGAAAATGATTTGGGAATTTTTCTTGAAGCATGCTTATTTTAAAATGCAAAAAAAAAAGACCCAACCATGTTTATACACAAGCAAGTAAACAAGCCCAATACCTAGTGAGGTACTGGTCACTGCATCATACTAGAGGAGGTGAAAGCAAAAAGAAACTTTACTTTGGAGAGTCGGTTTAGAAAAACTCCTACATTGTGAATCAAACTTTTTGTATTTTTAAGTCACACTTCTGGCACTAAATAGCTGACTGTCCCTGGGTTAGTCAAGGAATTTTCTAGATCTAGATTTTCTCACCTAGAAAATTAAATATTTGGACTAGATGACACTTAAAGTTTCTCCTACCTCTAAAATTTTGAGCTCTCTTCCTAAACTATAAATTCTTTCTTCCTATATTGCTTCTCCATTGATTCTTCAAAATTTATTTATGCCCTATTTTGTTCCTGTACTGTGACACAAAGGGTCTTATGTTATATGATTTAATTTATGTGAACTGTTTAGAGTAAACAAATCTATAGAAATGAAGGTAGATTAGTAGTTACTAGGGGCTGAGAGTAGAAGATATTGAGAGTGATGACTAATGGGTCTGGAGTTTCTTTTAGGAATGATACAAATATTCTGAAATGATAGTGGTGATGGTTAAATGGTAAAGAATGAAATGGATATATACAGCTTTGCCCTTATTTTACCTCACAGTATATTGCCAGTACATAAAGCCAACTGTGATAGAGTAAATTTTGGCACATAATCTGAACTTGACTGTGATGATAGTGGGAATCAGGAAATCATTACTTGAGAAAATACAAAGGTAGATAGTAGATTAATGATCTAAATGGTTCAACATTTCAAGTTAGGGAGTAAATTCACATCCCAACACCAGAATTCATGAGGCACCACTGAGGTTTCAGAGAGTGTTGTTATCTGTTCAGGGAAACCCAGAATTTGTGAGTTGCCACTAAGATTTAAGTGTGGATTGTTATCTGGTCAGGGAAAGCCAGGCATGGGAAAGTTCAAGTCATGAGAAGACATTCCAAGCAAGTTTAAAACATGAAAATATGGCTATACTAAATATAAATACTAATATTTTACAGCAAAAATGAATCTTCTATAACTTTTGACAAGACAGTTCCTGATCTTAAGAGGAAATTAGGCTGGTTTTAATATCTGACTATGTTTTTTTTTTTTCTAGAAGATGATATTAGGCCTCTCATACCCTACATCACTTCCTTCATTCCTTCAAATTCCCCAGGGATCATTCTTGCATCTACCTTTAAGGTTCTCAGCAGGGGTATATATATATATATATA